GGAATGGCTCATTAAACCTAGTATTCCTTCCTTAGATGGCAGAGATAGAAAGGAGTGCCTACAGAAGCTTTTGGTGGATAAGAATAAAGAGGTAACAAACAGAGTGGCCAAATTTGGCTGGCTGGTGATAAAACTATGGGATAACTGGCTAAATAACAAGGATAGAATAGGAAGAACTAGTTACTGTGTATGGTATAGTATATAATGCTGATTAAAGCCTATATAGTTTATCACATGTAAAACCTTACTATTGTTATATCATTTAATTGTGCATATGTTCAATGGCCAGTAGCTATAATAAACTTTTATGTCATGGGAATACCTCATACTTCATCTGAAGACCCACATGAAATGACTTGATTCTTAATACTGAAACTATATTTTAATCTTTTTGTATTTTGTATTTTGTTTTTAACCCAGCATTCTAGAGAATGTATTATATTTGTACTTTTTAATCTGCTAGCATTATGTCTGCTCAGCTGGCACCGTGCTTGTGTATATATTATTATTGTACTTATGTTTTAAATTGGTGGAATTTGGATGACCAAAGTGGTCAAAACAATAAAGACTGAACTGAACTGGTGGGCTTTATCTGGGCTTTATGTACATACATATTAAAGAAATAAGCAAATAAATGAATAAATATTCTCTTAACTGGCTATGTATGTCTCCTGCATGGGACAGGTTGGGTAAAATTATTGTAAACATCTGTTATAGGCACCCAGAATAATTCTTTGCTACCAGATTCAAACACAACCTGTCATCATTATCTCAGAAGGCATTCTAACTGCGTGCTATGTAAGAACCAGTTTGTAAAGCAAGACTTAAAACATTTTCTAAAACTAATGTTTTTGTGCAGCCATGTGTATATTGCTATACGTGTTATATTATATCTATAGTTTATTTCTGATTTGATTTTAATGAACTGAGACTCTTAAATGTTTGCAAAGTTGTGCAACTTTGCCTCTGGTTTATTTTCTTGGGGTTTTATCACTGATGCAAATCCAGTGGCTGTTACTTTAATTTAAGCCATGGCTAATGCTATCCTTTAATGTTCTTGACTTTCAGCCAGGGAGCTGATTGCTGCTTCCTCTGTTTACTGACTTCCTCTCCTATCATTTGCAAGTCTAAATAAGCTGCATACTTATTATTAGCTTGCCGTGTGAGAAAAGCCATATCCCCTTTGGGACCCACAAACACTCCTTTTTATGCTTTATTCTTAAAGAAATTTCTCGTACAAGAGAGCCAAAGAAAATCAACAAATGCAACTCAAAATACTTTTGCTTCATCACACAGAAATAAAATGAAGTCACTCTAAAATGAATTCTACAGGTACGACAAGAAACAATTAGAGAGGGGAAGAGGCTCTGTCCACTTGGGCCATCCCCCCAGTCAGAACTTGGGAAAGTTAGCACTCGAGTTAATTTGTCACACCTACCTTGAATGCTGGAATAAGATCACTGGTGTTAACTGTTTTGGTGAAAAATCTGAAATTAATCCATGTTGTTAAGTAAGTTGACTCTGACTGTGTGGACCGCAGCAAATTATGGCAAGTCCTTAAAGAAATGGGAGTGCCTGACCACCTCATCAGCCTCCTGAGAAATCTATACGTGGGACAGGAAGCAACAGTTAGAACTGGATATGGAACAACTGATTGGTTCAAAATGGGGAAAGGAGTACGACAGAGCTGTATATCGTCTCCCTGCTTATTTAACTTATATTCAGAATATATTATGCGAAAGGCAGGACTGGATAAATCCCAAGCTGGAAGTAAGATTGCCAGAAGAAATACCAACAACCTCAGATATACAGATGATACCACTCTGATGGCAGAAAGTGAGGAGGAATTAAGGAACCTCTTAACGAGGGTGACAGAGAATGGAAAAAGTGGTCTGAAGCTCAACATCAAAAAAACTATCCCATCACCTCCAGGCAAATAGAAGGGGAAGATATGGAGGCAATGACAGATTTTACCTTCTTGGACTCTACGATCACTGCAGATGGTGACAGCAGCAACAAAATTAAAAGATGCCTGCTTCTTGGGAGGAAAGTGATGACAAACTTAGACAGCATCTTAAAAAGCAGATGCATCACATTGCCCACAAAGGTCCACATAGTCAAAGCTATGGTTTTTCCAGTAGCGATGTATGGAAGTGAGAGCTGGACCATAAAGAAGGCTGACCACTAAAGAATTGATGCTTTTAAATTGTGGTGCTGGAGGAGACTCTTGAGAGTCCCCTGGACTGCAAGGAGAACAAACCTAGCAATTCTGAAGGAAATCAACCCTGAGTGCTCACTGGAAGGACAGCTCCTGAAGCTGAGGCTTCAATACTTTGGCTATCTCATGAGAAGAGAAGATTCTCTGGAAAAGACACTGAGGTTGGGAAAGTGTGAAGGCAAGAGGAGATGGGGACGACAGAGGATGAGATGGATGGACAGTGTCATCAAAGCTACAAACATGAATTTGACCCAACTCCGGGAGGCAGTGGAAGACAGGAGGGCCTGCCGTGCTCTTGTCCATGGGGTCACGAAGAGTCGGACATGACTTAACGAGTAAACAACAACAACACTCATAACATCTTAGTTTCATTTTTTAAAAAGAAAAGAATTAGTGTTACTAAAAGCAATGACCCTCAATGGGGACAAATCTAAGCACATTTATATAACAAGTTAATCATTACATAGTCCATCCATGTCACTGGCATTTAATAGTCTAAATAACAAATTTTAAAATTGTTGTAAATAATTAGCAAATAATGGCTGATAAATAATAAATAATGTTACAGAGCAAGTATTCTGGATATCCCTACATAGAAAATTACCATAGGCTCATTTTATGGAAATTGGTGTCCTTTGGTTTTTGGAGAAGCCTTGCCTCTTCTTTGGGGATGCCAAACTCTAAGCAAGCCTATGTCCTCTGGGCAAGGTGTCCAACGCAGGTCATCTGTCTTTGGAGAATTAATCTAAAGCAGCGAAATATTCCTGTTCCACATTCTTACTGTCATCCATCGGCATTTCTCCATCTTCTTCATCTAGCTATGAATACAGCCAAGGAGAAAACTGCTTTATTACTTTCAACTTCTCTTTCAAGCTGGATCTCTGAGCTGTAACCCTCCTGACCCTCTTCCGACTAATTTGTCCTCTACCTTGGTGATTTGTGCTTCCATTTCTTATGATTGCCTCTTTTAAATTTCAGTACATTTGAAAGCTCCTCAGGCAGACAGCCTAGTTTCTTCAAATCTCTCACACTTTTCTTTGTTGGAATTTTTTGCAAGTGTGCCTCTCATATGTGCCCAATTCCCCTGAACTCTGGCCTCTGATGAATATTACTGACCATAGGGTGTCACCTAGCAGTTCTGGAAGATGGCTGAAATCAGCTTTCTTACATCCAGAGTGTAGGTCCTCCTAGAATCCAGAGATAGCCTTGCAATAGTTATCTTGCATTATCTGCACTGAATTATTTCAACATGTCAGATATAGGCCTGCCCCCAGAGACAATTTGAAAATGTTACTTTGTTCAAAACAGGATGTCCAGACTGTTAGCCTCTACTTTAACCTTGTGTATTGACTCAATAAAGTAATCATGGTCTTGGGTTGGTAAGACCTGATCAGGGCTGTTAATGATAACACCATTTGAAAATCACTAGCTGGAGAAATCTACCATGACAATGCATGCATCTTGTCTTTGGGGGCAGAAGCAGCATGATACTCCAAGAACTCATCCCATAAAAACAAGTAGGTTGTCCTCATAATTACATCAGTTTTGTGCCAAAAAGCTCATCCAAGTTTAAGCTCAGGGTGTGGCTGCCTCATTATGACTTCATTATGACTAATGAACAGGATGGGAATACTTCCCATGGAATCCAGCAACGTCTGAATCAAAACCAAGATGCATTGAAATTGGAATCACACTGGCATAATAAAATTTATTGCTCCATTTATTGCTGAGAGAACGGGTAATTATCACCTTACTGTCCACAGAAATTTTCAGAACTCATGAATGCTTAATAGAGTTTCAGTGACTGCATCATAGAAAACTGTAATTTCTTAGACAGGAATATGAACATTGGGAAGGTCATTGTGGGCATTATGACTCCTATGTTATGATGTTCACAGGATGGATGCCAAGGGGAAACTACATTTCTTAGGACTCTTGGCATGTTAATCACAGCCATAGTGAAACACCAGGTGTAAAGGAGAGTAGAAAGGGAGAACCCCTTTCCTGCTGTAACTGATGAAGCAGCAGGTGCTTCAAGAAAGGTTAACAAGGCAGTTTAGAGGAGAGCTTTCCAGAGGATGACCTCAGGATGTAATGGGATGTCATATGCTCTGTGATTGTGACCATAATATTTCAGGGGAAATATTGTGGATTTGATGTATTCATGAAGGCTTTCACAGCCAGGATTTAATGGTTGTTGTGGGTTTTTCGGGCTCTTTGGCCATGTTCTGAAGGTTGTTCTTCCTAACGTTTCACCAGTCTCTGTGGCCGGCATCTTCAGAGGACAGCACTCTGTGCACTGGTGTAGTTGGCTTGAGAGTGCAGTATTTGTGGCTGTGAGCTAGGCTTTTGTCTTTTTCTGTAGATGGGTGATTAGCGTGTCTTGTTGTGGGTGTATTGTTGTGCTCCTTAAAAGAGACTGGAATTAAAACAACACACAAGCAGCATTAAACATTACAAAATGTGGAAGTATTAAAATCACCATATTTTTATCATATACTTACTAATCTTGCGGGGGGGTAGTCTCCTCTCACTAAGAGTCAGTCAAAATAAATGGAAAATCATCATTTAGTTTTACTTTGTAGATCGGTAACAGCAGCCCATAATATCCCAACACCTTAGAGGGAGGAAGAACTGTTTCCAGTACCACAGTATGTGCAACCATTCATCACCCATCAGCCCACCCATTGCCTCCTTTACTACATCTCATTTAGCCCTTGCTCTTTCAAAAAAGGTAAAGATGTGTAAAGATGCTTTGAGCTGCTTGTGCTTCCTTACACAGAGGTGTGGCAGCTGGCAAGTGAGCAAGAAGAAGAGAGGAAGAGGCTCGGCAGCAAGGTGATGGCAGGGTGGCCTAGACAGTGATGAAGTGATCAAAGCAGCAGCAACAACAGGGCCCTAGTTATTCTGCCTAATGAGAGGACTCACCCTGAAAATGGAAATGGTTGAGCACAATGACACAGAAAACATAGCCTGAGCCAGCATCAGAAGAAAAAACATCTGGTGAAACAGGGTATGTATATATAACAGATGGCTCACTTTTCAGAAGTATTGAAGCTGTATCTGTTTAATGAGTAATAGTTCCATGGCTGAGAGCAAATACTTTTGGAAGAACCATAGCTATGTTTTAACTTGTGCAATATTTCTCCATTAAAAGTGCAATGACATTGATTGTTCCTAAGCCACTAAAAGGCTCTAAAGCCATTCCCTTCCACCAGTCTTTTAACTGCCTTTGAAAAGTACATTTATAACATGCTAACAAAATTTATTGATGCACCAGCAAGGGAACACAGTATTTCACACGAAGGCAGCCAGAAAATATTTCATATTTCGATGAATGTCAAGATCTCCTTTCAAGAATCAGGTTGGCCTTGGCTTCACCTTGAACATGTATGTGAAGTACATATTGTCATATATCTCATTAAATTTCCTATACAGGTAACCGTGCAGAAATGCTATGTCACAGGGCAGTGACACAAACAACTCTTCTTTCACTGGAAAAGATAAACAGGCCTTCAAGCATTACTGCCCCCCCCTTTTTTTCAAGGGACAAGGAATATGTGGCCACCTGCACAGATAAGGACTGCTGAGGAAACCAGGCAGGCCAGAAATCACTCAGATGGTTTTGAGTTCATCAGACAATCTAACAGTTAAGGCTGGGTCATGAACTGCATGTTGAGTTAAGCAGGGAATCCAGAATCATGGGACAGGGCAGTAGTAACCACAGGCAGGGTTAAGAAACAAGCTAAACATCACTGAAAAACAAATCAAAAGATAAGCAGAATGCAAGGGAAACAACCAAGAGCAAAGTGTGTGGCTGGCCCTGCCATTAGGCTGGGTGAGGTGGTCACCTCAGGTGATTAAGCATTGGTTGTGGTGAGTGCACCACTCCTTCATAAGCAAACGTAGATGTGATGGGAACAGTGCTGCTATGCATGTGCTACTTGATAAAGACAGGGGGGGACGACAAGTAAATAAGAATGTCCATGGCTGCTGCCTCGTCTTTTCTTCACCTTCTCCTGCCTCTGCCCCCAGCCCTGGCCACTTCACTGGGGGCAGGACAGCCTCGCTCGTAAATAAGAATGTCCATGGCTGCTGCCTCCACTTGTCTTTTCTTCAAAGTGACCCACCTTCTCCTGCCCCTGCCCCCAGCCCCGGCCACTTCATTGGGGGCAGGACAGCCGCACTCTTTCCATTCACCTCACATCCAGGTCTCCTCGCTCTCCCTGACAAAGACAGAGAAGAGGAACAGGAAAAGGTGGTTGCTTTGAAGAAAAGGCAAGTGGTGACTGGAATGATGAGTGAAGGCAGGCAGCACACTCAAGCAAGGCCACCTGTGCATGTTAGTCAAACCTGGGGCCAGAGGAGGAGAAGGAGGAGGCTTATTCAGCTGCACATCTCCCACCAAGATTCAGTGTTGTTATACAGCACAGGAAACGTCTTCCATATGGAAGTCTGTCCTTCCTCAGAGCCAAGGCTTTTTACCATTGCAGTGGTAAAGGGTGAGAGCATAAGAAGCTGCAGTCTGAATGCCATCCCTTTGCCAGTTTGCTTCAGAACCTGTAAATAATTTATTGATTTTATATGGCTAAAATTTAAGTCTCTTTTTTTTAACCCAACAAAAGCATAATGGCAGCAATTAAGCATTTAAACCTAATTTAATGTTCTCTGCGTAGCATTAGCAAGGTTCTCACATTATTCCTTTTTCATCATTATTGTGCCCTCTGCCTAAGAGGCCACAAGCTGGGCAGATTCCCCTTTATTGTTAAAGATCATTAGACATGGTAATTCCTCTGGCATTTAATTAAAAGAGAGGTGGGGAGTGGTGGGGATTGACTTATTCCAATCCAGGATTGAAGAAAGTCAAACAGCAATTGAAAAACTTAATTGGTGGGTAAAAGTCCATCTGCTTACTATGGACTGTAATACTGACCTCTACTTATTATTTCAAATACCGTCCCCAGTGGCTTTATAGTAATATATGATTTTGAAGGAAAGGGATACAACAGATGCTCTATCCTCCCTTGTTCTGTCAATTTAAAAAACCCTCTGAAATGTAGCATATTAATATGCAAACGTACTTGAAAGCAAATCCCACTGAGTTCAGTGGGTCTTTGGACCAAGTGGATATAGGATGTTGGATGCCTTCATTTTGAGTAGGCTCATTTTTCCAGTTGATACAGCAGAATATGTTTTTAGGTCTTGTAGGTACCTTGTAGTGGACCAGAACACTGAAGACCTAGGTTCAGATCCCCAGTTGACCACCATGGAAACTCACTGGGGGTGTGGAACTGGTTAAACCCCTCCTTAAATATCTCACCTACCTTGAAATCCCTGTATGTGACACTATAACTCAGTTCCAACTTGATGGAACATAAGGCACAACACACAGGTAGCCTTTACACATCCTACTAGCCATATTTTTTAAAATCAGGAGAGGTATGGAGTTTATAAAACACATCAATGTGTGTGAAAACAAAGGGAGACACTGCTTCGGTGTGTATGCAAAGTGCAGATTCATTTTAGAATGTCATTCACTAGAAAGGTACAGAAGGCCCTCTCACCGGCTCTGTGCATGAATATTGGGCATTACAACCTACTTTTTATCCTCTAAGACAGTGGTTCTTAACCTTTGTTACTCGGATGCTTTTGAACTGCAACTCCCAGAAACCCCAGTCAGGACAGCTGGTGATGAAGGCTTCTGGGAGTTGCAGTCCAAAACTCCCGAGTAACCCAAGGTTAAGAACCAGTGCTCTAAGAGATGTTTTGATCCATTCCATCTCTTCCATCTGCACTCTGTGTTTGTTTCTACTTCTCCATTTTAAAAAAACAGAAACAAAACACATCAACATTGACAGGGTAGAATTGTAAATAGCTGTGACCTAGAGAGGCCAAGTTAAGCCATCCATTTTGATGAGACGATCCACTTTAACAGTGTGGCCAGAATCCCAGCAGGCAGTGATTGTTATTTGCATCCCCACAGCAAAAAGTGAAAAAAGAAAGGATCCTGATGCTCAAATTGCTTGACCTATCCAATCAAAGCCTGTACAGCAATTATTCCAAAATTACTCACACACGGACTTCTAATGGCGTAATAATATTTCTATGAAGCTTAGTAAACGAAGCTGAATGAAAGGAGAAAGGTGAGGACAGTCCAGAATGCAAAAAGGCTATCTAAGCAAAAAATGCAAGGCTTTCACTTGGCCCTACAGTTCTGCAAAAATGGCTGCAAGGGAATACTTAGCACATAATGATCTCATCTAAGCCCTCTGTATAGCTCTATGAACCAGCTGGCACCATGGCTGCAAGAGCATTTAGTGCCCAGGAGTTTCATCTGAGCCCTCCCTAATACCTCTGTGGAATATGCAGGGTGACTCTTGGACTTCATTGAGAGCATTCAGCTTTTACTTCAACAGCAGGAACTAAGTATACCAGTACTGTGTATTCTTCATGGACCATTTTAACCCTACAGATGCCAAATGAAATAAATACCCATTGAGCTGTTGCTCTACCTTGGGGGTGGGGTGGGGTTAAGAACAGCTCTTTGCTTTTTCTCATAGACACTTCACTGTGGAACAAATACTCGTGATTCTGTCCATTTTTGCATGTTTGTCCAAAGACAGAACACTTGTCTGTGATTAATTATTAACTTTGCCATCAGGTTGTCCCCCCCCCTGTTGAGATAATTATAAGAAACTTGTTCATTTTAGTTCATGATTACTCTAGGTTAGTTTATGAATTTTAAATGTACTTTTAAAGAGAAAAAATTGTGTTTGTTTCCACATTCTGCTTCCTATTTGTTAAGAGCAATTCCAGTATGTGGTATTATATTTAAAACTGAAATTATATTGATTAAATTTATGCCTGCAAAAGTTGATAATGTCATCAGCCACAGCCTTTTATTGTTCATTGACTGTTTCATATTCCTCCCCTAGGTTCTGAGGCTCCTCAGGATCCTTTCTGACCTGGCTAAGCCTTTGGGTGCCTCATGACTAGATAGGGGGAGCCTTTAACGCCTAAAAATTATCAATTGCAATCCTAGTAAGAGGAATTTTTCCATTTGCTTATTAGTATAGAATAAAATTATGTCCCTTTTTAATTTTTATGTATATGGTTTGTGTGTGTGTGTGTGTGTGTGTGTGTGTGTGTGTGTGTGTGTGTGTGTGTGTGTGTGTGTGTTTATGCAGTAAACACATAGGGGATTGTTTCCAAGCCTCCCCACAGTTGCTGAAAACTCCAGATAATAGTGAATACTACACATAGTATGGTAAAAGAAAAAATCCATAAAAAAGTATTTCACCATGTATTACCAGAACTGGCCCTTAGAGGGAGCAAGAAACCATGCTATGTATTTTTCAACAACAAGAATAGCGTGGTCTCTTGTTCCCTCTAGTGGACAGCTCTGGTAAATACATTGTGCAAACACGTATTTCTAGGTTTTTTTCTTTTGTTATTGTTAATGATGTCTTATTTTGTGTGTGTGTGTGTGTGTATGTGTGTGTGTGTCTTGTCAATAGTCCAACTATGTCTTGTCAATAGTCCTTTTATTTTGTTTGTGCATGTGTGTGCATGTGAGTCTATGTGTGTATGTGCATGTCTTTGTGTGTGCAAAATAAGTGAATCATTGATAAGACATAGTTCAACAAGTTGTAAGATTATGATCCGACAGCATTCCCAAACCTGACATTTTCCACACGTTTTGGACTGCACGATCAAAGCTGTACAGGGAGATTTGTTGTCTATCTGGGAAAAGGCAATTTCAAAGAGACATAAAAACTTTTGAAAGAGCCGATAAGAAATATGCCACTAGGGGTCCAACCATGATGATCCACATGCCATCCTCTCTAAATCTCACAATTTATTCAAAAATTAAACATTTAATCAATGCTAGTTGATTAACTGTTTAATTTAAACTGTGTAAAACCTAACCTCTGTGATCTCATATGGAAGACCTTTCAGCAACCTCTGCAAAACCGTGGAGATGCAGTGATGAATTCGAAAGCCAATGAAACAATGCTACCAAGATCTGCCTTCTAGGTCTGCTGGGATATATTTGCAGAGCAAAGGTGTGCATAGCTAAAAGGAAAACAAATACAATTTTTGAAACCAAAGTTGGGGAAAGAGTAGATCTGGACCTGTTGGTAGAAGTTTAGGTATTATACAGTATGTCAGGATGAATGCCAAAACCAGATCAGGTTGTCAAGTCAGCAGTACCTCACTCCCTGAGCTGCTTGCTCTGCTAACATAAATTGTAGTCCAGTGCTAATTTGACTGCTGAGTGCACAAATCACAGCAGCTTCATTTTGACTAGATTTCATTGTGTAATATTTTGCTAAAATCCAGTATTAAGCTGCATCTAGAGTAGGTCCATCAAATTAGTGGGGATTTGGTGAGTCAACTCCTCTGTATATTCCACTGATTCAGTGGGCCTATTTTTGTTGCAACTTATTACTGAGTTTTGGCCATGGTGTACCATCATCTTTAGATCAGTTAAATATGCTGGTCCCCTTGTGCCAGGTAAGCATATGCAGCACTGTGTGGTTCTTGTCGTTTGCACGACCATGTTCTCATTTTTGCTTAGGTAATTAGTTGCAGATGGTCACTTAATTTGCTATTTTTCCTAATTGCCTTTAATTAGAGAGGCACTCCAACTATCCATCACTCACTGAGTCCATCATTTGCTGATTCATAATGAGTTGGGCTATTATTTTATTTTCCTAGTATCAATGACTTGTTTGCTTTGCCTTTTTTGTCAAGAAACAAACAACATGTTTTTAGTTCAAAGGAATGCTGTATCAACTTTAATTAGGTGCATGGCAGCCCCCTGCTCTGTACACAGAGAGCGGGGGGTAAGGACATAAAGCCTAGTCCTTTCAGAACACAAAGCAACTGATACATACAGCTGGGAGATATGCTACCCATCTACACATCTACATCAAAAACAGGGACTCATGAG